GACTCGATGGCACCTGACAACAACAACAACATACACTTGTGAAAGTTAGACAATGAATAAGAAAGACCAGAGAAGAATTAATACATTTAAATTATGATGCTGGCAAAGAATATTGAAAGTACCGTTGACTGCCAGAGAACAAATAAACCTGTCTTGGAAGAAGTACAGTCAAAATGCTGTATAGAAGGGAAGATGGTGAGATTTTGTACTTTGGACATGTCATCAGAATGGGTCAGTCCCTGGAAAAGAACATCGTGCCTAGAAAGGTAGAGGGTCAGAGAAAAAAGGAAGAGTTCCCCCCTCCACGACCTGGCCCCTGGCAATGAGATGAATGAGACAGTGGCTGAAAGAACAGGATGAAGTATTACAATCGTTGTGAGGATGGTGTGTGACCAGGAGTGGGTAGAGTTTCATTTTGTAGTGCATATGGTAGCTAGGAGTTAGAATTAACTTGATACCTAACAGAAACTTCCATTTGGTATGTTTTAGAAGGCTTTTTTTTCTTTTCCTAAAAAGCTAATCTTATGAAATTGTTTCCTTGATATAGATGTTTATTAATACTTAACCACCTTCTAATAAAGTCTAGATTCTCCAGAATAGTTGGCATATTTTATAAATTGTTGCCCATTGTTTGATTTAATTTGTCAGTGTTTCGGTCAGAAACAAAATCTATTGATCTAAAGTCAAGGTAAAATTCAAGCATCATATTATATTCTGAAGTGAAAATGTTTCCAACTCACTGTTAGAACTATCTATTCTCTATTTAAGCCTCTACTATATTTTGCATAAATTTCTGTCTCAGCAACTTTAACATTTATTGAGCTCAAAATGTTATACATATGTATGTGTGTTTATGTGTATATGCCATATATATATATATATGAATAGACTCTCCTTTCAGTCAATGACTTATAATTACTCTCATTATTTGCCTTCTAACTTAGCACACAGTAAGCATGATAAATGTTTACAGAGTAAGTCATTGAGTGAGTGAATAAGTGAATGGATGAATTAATGAATGAATGAATGAATGAATAAACAGGCAATAAGTCAGGTTAATGTTTTTTAGTACCTATAATTCAGTGTGATTACAGGAAGTAGCGCTAATGCTCATGAATGACAATATGTATGCAAGTAATGTAAGTGAAACTATTGTTTAAGGGAATCTTTAATACTAGGATGTTGTTGTTGTTGTTAAGTGCCATGGAGTCGATTCCAACCCATAGTGACCCTGTATAGGGTTTCCAGCAACCTTGAAGTTCAAATGACTTTGCAGTCCAATGCATTAACCCACAGCACAACCAGGACTTCAATACCAGGATATACTTTTTCAAATACAGTATAATAAACAACAACATTAAACTACTATAATGATTAACAGGAAACAACATAACAATATGTTTTTAAAAGCACAGATCTGGCTCCAAACACATCTTCACTACATATCATTGGGTCCATTACTAACTTTTATGAGTTTCATTTCTGTATCTACAAAGATTAAACAGTTAAAGTAATGGTGGCGGTATGCCGTGGAGTCAGGTCTGACTCACAGTGACCCTGCATACAGTTTCCAAGGCAATAAATCTTCATGGGAGCAGAAAGCCTCATCTTTCTTCTGCTGAATGGCTGGTAGGTTTAAACTGCTCACTTTTGAGAATAACAGCTTGATTCAACCGCTATGCTACCAGAGCTCCTTAACAGTTAAAGTAGTATTTAAAAATAGGGCCCCTGTCACACATATTCAAATGAATCCCATGAAAAAGTATTGATTCTAAATCCTTGTCATGACCTAGGGAATAAATTAATAAAATCTCTCATCCCAGAGTCACTTGGTCAAGCATTTCAGTTGAAATATGTGTGTATATGCCTGTGTGTGTGGTAGTTATACAGCTGTACCTAAAAATATATGTTTCAAAGGCAAGAAAACATTTTTGTGGATGACTACATCTACACTCCAACATTATTATAATCATTGGTTTCTCCCTGTGAGATTTAAATATATATGGATGCTGGAGAAACTGTGAAGGTCCTTCAAAACTTAATGGCACCTGAGGATATCCTAGTCAGAGAACCTCTATAAAGAGGTGATGTAGGAGTCATAACACTCAAAAAGTAGTGCAAGCTGTTAGTTCAGAGAGGGAGCAAACTGGAGGAGTTAGAAAAGGAGAGAGGGTTCTTAAGAAGGTAAGCTTGTTATAGTATTATGCTCATATATGGGCTATGTCTATCAAGCTCCCTGAGTCAGTGGCATCTCTAGCATAAGACAATGGCTTCTCAGTACTTGGACAAAGGTAGCTTCCTAGTTCATGAGAATCAAGCTTCCCTGCAGAATATTACTTAAGAAGAACAACAAATCCCAAACATTGCCAATGAGTTGATTTCAACTCACCTTGACCCTATACCAGAGTAGAACTATCCCATTACTTAAAAAGGGGGAAATGTGTACTGGAGCTATAGGATAAGCAATGAACTGCTAACCACAAGGTTGGAAGTCCAAACCTAACAGTTGCTCCTCAGAAATTCTATACAGGGTCGCTATGAGTCAAAACAACAATGTGTTCACTAAGATAGAAAAGGAACATTGAGAGATAAAGTATCTCTCTCCTTTTTAAGCCGTTTTTGTTTTGTTTTGTTTTTTGTTTTTTGACAGTGGAAGCTAGAAGGAACCTATACATTGACAGCTGAGGAAGTTCAGGAGCAGAGAGCTGAAACGATATCTGAAGAGTTACACAGTTAATGCTTGAGAGATGAATGAGTTACTGACAATATGTCAAGAGATTAAATATCCCTTTTGATTACCAGGTTATGTTTTTTCTGGTTAATTATTTTCTTTTAAAATGACACGACCGCATAGGATTATAAAATCTGCACCGACTCAAATAAAAACAGAAGCAAACCTCTCAGAATGCCTTTGGCAACAATTGGCAATGATGTCAGTGTTCTCAGCCATTTAATGTCCTCCCAGCTGATAGATGGGTCTATGGCTTTAGCCACATAAGCAGCAAGCCCACTGTTGTCTCCAAAATTTTCCTTAGGAGAAAACGCTAAATCATTGGCTTCAAAATTTTTCATTCTGAAATCAAGAAATACATAATGTGAGAAACTTTTTAGGAGCAAGTTAGACATCTCTTTAAAACAATTTTTTTCAAAGTATATAAAAAAAGTTGCCTTCTTTAAATCAATTGACTGTTCATTTCTCAACCATCTATAAATTGGTTGTACACATATTTTCCATGTTTTGATGTGGCACTCCAGGCTAAATGTGACAATCTAGTCATCTTAATTGGTCACCTAAAGTTTATTTTGCATCTTAGGCTGTGGTTATACAAACAAATCAGTTTAAAGGAAAAATATGTGGCTAAGTTCAAACATCTCTTCCCATAAAGTCAGTTTATGGGATGTAGACAGTAGACTTGGTGGTATTTTAAGGCAGCAATGCAAATTAATCATAATTAGCAAAATTTGCATGGTAATTTATAATTTACAAAGGATTTCATATATAAAAAGAGTCCCTGGTGGTGCAGTGGCTAAAGAGCTCAACTATTAACTAAAAGATCAGCAGTTCAAGTCCATCAATCACTCTGCAGTAGAAAGATGTGACCCTCTGCTTCCATAAAGATTTACAGCCTTGGAAATCCTATGGAACTGTTCTACACTGCCCTAAGTGTCGCTAGGAGTCAGAAGCAACTTGGTAGCAATGTGTTTGGGGTTATATGCCAAAATTATCATACTTTTTAAAAAAAACTTTTGGAAGTAAGATTGATGCTTTATGATTCTCATTCTACATAAGAAAAATAAAAACAAAAGAGCAGACTGAGACATCCCCAAGTATAGGACTAGCATATGGCAGCATTCAGGCACTAGCCTGGGTCACTTGACTCCTAATCTCATCGTCTTTGCTCAGATCCCAGTTACATCCTGGTAATTGCACTCAATTCCAGAAACCATTCACATGCTATTGTAGAGAATCTTAGAGGAGGTTTGAACTCCCGTAACGTGTTAACAGCTTCTACTTGTTGACCTCTAGACTCTTTTCCCTGTCTTGCTATTATCTGAGTGGTGGCTTTGGTGGGCACCTGGGAGTAACAGGGAAGGCGTTCCAGAAGATGATCTGTCCCATCTTGTCTTCCTATCCTCCATTTAGTTGCTCTCTCTGAGATCTTTCATTTGTTGGTGCAAACTTTCAGACAATCCTAACCAGGACTTGAGTTTTCCAACTATCAACACCTTAATTTTTTTGCCTGTGGCTTTTTTTTCTTTCTTTCTTTATTTTTTCATGCTCCTGGCGTTTGAATTACTAACCACACAGCTGAATGGAAGTATCAGGGATGTTGAGGTGTACATACTTCAGTTTCCTCACCCCCTTGGGTAGACTAGGCAAATGTTCTACATGAGCTCTCAGAATTTCCCAGAAGGATTAAACTTCAGTTGTCCATAATTTTAGTTGTTGGATAGCATGCCCTTCCTTAGTCTGCTTCCTTCCCTGTCTTGTCCTGCTTCCCAACTCCTCTACAAGTATTCTCTTCGCTGCCCAAATGAACTCTTGTTCTTAAGTCAGTCGGTTCTGACTCATAACAATCCTCTATAGAGTTTTCAAGAAGAAGATGGTGGGTTTGAACTGCCAACCTTTGTGATTTGAAGTCCAGAGCAACAACTTGCACTTACATCATTGTTTCACTTGGTCTGCTTCTAGGAGAACCCAAATTTAAGACACAACCACACTGAGTTGCTGACTTCCTCAGTATATAATTTTGTTAATCCATTTTAGACTGAAAATGTTCTCTTGGTCTAATG